GAACAGTCCAATGATTATTTTACTGATATGTATAAAGACTGCAAAGGCTGAAAAATCTTGAAGTCTGTATGAAATTGGAGGTAGTTTGAGGATTAAAATTTTTTATGCTTTTTAAGCTCAAAAAAAGGGGGGGGGGGTCGTATTATACATGAGATCGTATTATACATAAACAAATACGGTAAGCTCCACTGATTATTTGTCTCTTCCTGTCCTCAGTGATTATATAAGTCGTCAAACAGGAAGTCTGTCCGAAGCACAGAGGCAGCGCTGCCTGGACGCCCTCTCTGCTGTGAGGGATTGTGGGTACAGGTGTTTCACCTGTCCTCTTCATGACCACACAAAGGTACAAAAACAACACGTTCTGCTTAGAGTGCTGAACGTTGTGGCTCTTTAGACACACCTTTAAAAGTTGAGTTCTGTTTCCTTTCTGATGAACGTCAGGCATGTTTAAGTCAGCTGTGGACGTCTGCCTGGGCTGACGGCTCACTTCCTGTAATCGGCTCGCTGCTGGACCATCTGAACCAACAACTGGCCAGTCTCACGGACCTGAAACCAGCCTGCAGACAGGTGAGGCGCCGCCCCGCTTCTGTACCTGCCTGCACACCTGGCCGTATACTGGTCTAACCCGTCCCTGTGTGTGCAGTCCCTGTTCTGCGTCCTCTATCAGAACGTGGTCCGTCAGTATGTGAAGAAGACGATGAAGACCAGGAATAAGAACAGAGAGCAGCAGCTGGCTGGAGCTCAGCGGATGAAGGAAGATGCCGAGAAAATGGACAGGTTCTTCACAGAGGAGGTGAGACGTGTTCATGGATAGATGAATATATAAATATAATATATAATAWTACAATATAATATATAATACATTATATCTTAATGTATATAATAATATAAATATAAGTGAAGCTCGTGGCAGAGTGGTGAACCACCAACAACCTCTCCCTCAACACCAGTAAAACCGAGGATCTGATTGTGGACTTCAGGCGATGGAGCAGAGAACACAAAGCCCTGAGTTTTGAGGGGACATTAGTGGAGAGAGTGGACAGCTTCAGGTTCCTCTGTGTTTATATCTCAGAGGATCTCACCTGGTCACTGTATTCAGTGACCAGGTGAGGTGATACATCCCACATTATCAGGAAAGCCCAACAGTGCCTCCACTTCCTCTGTCGTCTGAAGAGGGCTAAACTGCCACAGCAGCTACTCTGCATCAGCTACAGGTCCACTGTGGAGAGTACTCTTCTACAGGTCCACTGTGGAGAGTACTCTTCTACAGGTCCACTGTGGAGAGTACTCTTCTACAGGTCCACTGTGGAGAGTACTCTTCTACAGGTCCACTGTGGAGAGTACTCTTCTAC